TTTTTTTTTCAAGAAAGTTAAACATTCTCGCCTTGCTAATGAAATTGATTCGGAAATTGGATCATTGAAAGTGCAAGGACCGCTAGCTAAGAATAAAACAATTGAAACTTGTTACAATCCTATCATCATGAGTGGTGGCAGTTATTCTCTGAAATGGAGCACCGAGAGGTTTGCAGTTTTCTATTCTGCAAACTGATAAACTCTGATTTTGTTTATTTTCAGCTCGGATAAGCTCCTCCACTTTGGCGTCATCGTTACATCCCTTGGAGCTCGGCTAGAGGTTGAATAGCTGGTTTTTGCATAGAAATCAATTGTATATCTACTATGGCTATTTTAGAATTATTGTACTAATCTTACTCGAACACTGATGGTGGAACCTTCAAAGAATCTTGAAGAAGCATACGAAGGTCTCCTTGCTACTCAAGCTGCTGTGATAGAGGCACTGAAGCCTGGTGCAAGGCTACGTGATGTATACGATAGTGGGGTGAAAACCTTCCAAGAAAAGTGTCCCGATATTGCTGACAAGTTACACAAAAAGGATTTTGGGTAAACGTTTACTTATCGCCCGATGCGAGCCAAGATGTTATAGTACGCTATGTTTAGATTTGTTACTGGAATCGAATTCCGAGAAGGGGCTTTGTTAATTAGCCCGAAGTGTGACGAGAAGGTACTCTTCAGAAATTATTCTCTTTTTTCCTTGCAATAGATGTGCCATTCTTTTTCTCAGGTTAGAGCAGGCATGGTCTTCATTGTTTCTGCTGGAGTTGAAGGGCTGACTAACGCTAAGGCAAAGGATGATGCCGGGAAGAATGTAACTATCGCCCTCTCAGATACTGTAAGCATCAGATATTGGCTGTTAGCAATAGAGAAGAGCCAAGGAGTAGACCGAATAGTCAGGCTTGGCAGTTCATTTGCGACCCTTTAGGTGCTTGTAAAAAGCGATGGGCGAAATGAGGTTTTGACGGAAAGGGCCAAAAGTAGACTAAAGAATAGTGTCATTAGATTTAAGGAGGAAGAAGAAGATGGTATGTGGCATCAAGTTTGATTACATTTTGTCATTATAACGTGATCTGCTTTTTCCGAGTATATCTGCCTTCATTTTTAAGCTAAAGACTCAAACAAAGAAAATACTGAGGACTTGGGTCGTGGAAAGCGCAGTGTCGTGCTGACAGATCAAACTAGAAACAAGGCCACCAACGAGGATAAGAGGAAGGAGCATCAAAAGCTGTTGGCGCAACAGTTGAATGATGCTGCTCGACAACGTCTCGCGCAGGCCAGTGGAGCGAGCGAAGCAAAGAAGTAAGTTATGTAGTATCATTCTATTTAATTTAAAGTCCAAGTTTGGCTTTGATGTGATGAAACAGCGTAAAATTCATCAAGTTGTTACTCGAATCACCATCAGTTTGTCCCTTCACCTCCCATATTTTATGCGGTTTTTGACCACATCATGTGCTTCAAAAACCCTTTTCTGCCCTACGAAATCCTGACCTCTTCCCAAGTTCTCCAATTTTGTCTTGATTTCTAATTGTGAACTGAGTTGTCATTTAGCAAAATATTTTTGTCACCTTGTTTCTGCACATGATTTTTGGAATATTCGATTCCTCATTAGAAATGCTAACAACGTTTGCAATAATGTAACATGTTTCATTGGTTGTGACCTCTCCCATCTTCCCACTTTCTTGTCGCAACCACTGCATTTTATAATGGACTTTTTCTAAGTCATACAGCTAGCTCTAATTCTCTCATCGATGCTCTAAGGATATTTGGGGAGTGGTCGAAATATAGGGCAACATCCGTTGAATTAGGATTTTAAATTGTTTTCAAATAATCTCAGTGAGCTTGGATGGTGTCCCGTCAATGTTGTGTTTTGAACCTCAAAACTTTGTGAACTTTTCGAATCAATCTTTATCAGTATTCTAGGGAGTTTTTTTTATACATAAGACTAAAATCTTGGGCCGTTTCTCAAACTTTTTGGTCTTGATTGTCAAATAACTTTGAAAGCGATGAACAGGATCTTGTAGAGCAAGAAAGGGCTTACGAACCAATACAACTTCATCAAAAAATTTTCCCGTTACGGTAACATAAGCGTGCAGGAAAATTATAGCTTACGTAAAAATCCAACAAAAGAGCTTTCAAAATTATCCAGATCTATAATACCCAATACAATGATTTCTATACATTTAGAATCAAGAAGTCTAATGTTTCTTACAAGACATTTGACAAGTTCCCTGTTGATACAGAAATCAATAAGTTAAACATCTTTGTAGGTGAGTATCTCTCCTCACATGTTTTAATCATTTGTCAACTTCAATGCATTCAGATAAACGTCACGATACCATTATTCTACCTATTTTTGGTATTCCTGTACCATTCCACATTTCGATGATAAAGGTATCTCCCTAACACTTATTGTGCCAAGGTACTACCGCTTTCTTATCTCCTCAACATTTATATTCTAGAATTGCTCTCAATCTGTGGAGGGTGATTTTACATATCTGCGTATAAACTTTGCTCATCCCGGCTCTCAGATTGGGAAAGAAACTGCGCAATTCCCCAATCCATTGGCTACCTACTTGAAGGAACTCACATATAGGTCTGCGAAATGTTCTATTAACTTGGATCGAATTATGCGAATCCTTGCTATCCTACCATATCTACTTTTTGTAGAGCTAGCAACGTAAAGGAACATGGAGAAGCTATTGCTCCTAGTAACAACTTGACTACTGCCTTTCGTCTGATCAAGGAGATTCAAAAGCGTTTTAGGTTTGTTAATCAAAATATCTGACATTCCTAGTAGTTTCGTGACGGAGATGTCAATATTTTTAAGAACTGAGGAAGCTGAAGAGCGCGAGAAAGAAGGTGCTGTTAAGCAAGACAAGCTGATTTTAAGCCAGGCAAAAGCAAATCCCAAACTCAAGGATCTGTAAATTTTTTTCCACTTGGCTCTCATGATCTTTAAACGTTGTAAAGGCTTAATTCTTTTTAGCTTTGTGCGGCCAAACATCATTGCGAAACGCATATCCGGTGCACTAGAAGCGCATATTAATGGCTTTCGGTGAGTAAATTTCTTGGAATTTCTTTTAAATAATGGTCGAACCACGGCACTCAATAGGTACACTTCTTTGCGTGGTGATCGAATTGATGTCTTGTACAATAACATCAAGCATGCATTCTTCCAACCATGTGATAATGAAATGATAATTCTGCTGCACTTTCATCTCAAACATCCGGTACTTTGGGGCAAAAAGAAGTATAAGTAAGTCATAGTTTCATGACTTGAGACATCCTTTCATTGAAAATGTTTCAACAGAAAGGGGTTTTGTCTCTTTCTTTTAGGGATATACAGTTCTATACCGAAGTTGGTGAGATAACAACTGATCTTGGTAAATATCATCACATGCAGGATCGCGACGACGTGCAAAGTGAACAGGTAGTCATACGTTGAATTTTCTCGGTGTTTTCATTCGCTTGCACAATTCATTTTTTCTTAGATGGAACGCGAAATGAGGCGGAAGCTCAACCAAACCTTTCAAAATTTTTGCGACAAGGTATTTTTGAAGTCTGTTTTTGAACTTGGTGTTATTATAAACTTCTAATCTCGTTTCCATTTTTGAACTTTGGAATTTCTCACGGATTTCAGGTTGTCAAGCAAACTAATGACCAATTCGATTTCGATTGTCCCTTTAGTGAACTCGGGTTCCTCGGTGTTCCTCACCGTTCAAGTTGTATGCTAAAGCCCACTTCGTCCTGTTTAGTCAATCTCACTGAATGGGTAGGCTTACTTTTCTGATATTTCACTGATTTCCCTTTTTTCTTTAGCGTCGTTACGAAATTATTATAGCCTCCATTCATCGTAACTTTGGACGAGGTGGAATTGGTTCATTTTGAGCGAGTTTCTTTCCAACTGAAGAATTTTGATATGGTGTTCATTTTCAAAGATTACAATCGGAAGACACAAATGGTGCAACAAATTCCAATGAGTAGCCTAGATGGTGTGAAGGTAAAAATTCCAACTCCCTGCCCATCTTTTCTGACTCATGCATTGGACAACACTCTTTTGGTTAAGGAATGGTTAAATACCAGTGATCTTCGTTATACTGAAGGAATACAGTCTCTCAACTGGCCAAAGATCATGAAGGTAATTTCCAAAATGCAGTAAATTTACTCTGAATTAATAGTAAAGTATGCAGATGTGTTGTTTGTAGACTATAACTGATGATCCGGAAGAATTTTTTGAAACTGGAGGTTGGAATTTTTTGGGGAATGATTCTGACCAAGAGGATGAACCAGAGGTAGTTTGAGAGTACTCCCACTTTTCGAAGACTTCTTTGCGCAAGTGCACTTAGCTACAGGATGAGAGCGAATCAGAGGATGCGTATACCCCCAGCGAGTCCGAATCTGGAGAAGACGAGAGTGATGAAGATGAAAGTGAAGGTATGCAGATGATATTGTTTGCACACGAATTTTCAGGTCAACCGCTTTGAGTCGGAG